CTGCTGCTGTTGTACGCTGCTGCTGCTGCTGTTGTACGCTGCTGCTGCTGCTGGTGCTGCTGCTGCTGCTGCTGCTGTTGCTGCTGCTGCTACTGGTGCTGCTATTGCTGCTGCTGCTGCTGCTGCTATTGCTGCTGCTGCTATTGCTGCTGCTGCTATTATACGTCTAACCAACCTCCTGTCACTCTACTGCTGGCATTCCTCAACGACTGTTGTGCATTGTACTATTTACGGATAAATGCTACGTTCAATTCATCCAACGTTTTGGCACATGTAATCATTAAAACTATTCTAAATTTAACTTCTTTGTCTATTTAATGGTCGATTTTATCAATTAATGGTTGATTATCAATTCATCACACGTAATAAACTTTTTATGTACGATACGATACTCGCGTATCGCCTGTGTAGTGCTACACGGTAAGCTTTTACTCATTTAACAGCACAAGGTGACGTGGCTCAGTGCAAGACTTACGGTCACCGTAAGAGAGCATTCCTCGCAGTGCAAGACTTACGGTCANACGCGCTTTTTGACATATATCGACTAGTACTAGTGTAACGAAACGAGGCACTGAAATTGAACGTTTAATTTTTGATTGTGGCATGTAAATAGGAATTATTTTGACACCGAAACATTATACGTATTGCTCATTATTATGGTTACACTAGATGATTTTGATTACGGTATCGATCTGCATGGTTATCGGACGCTGATATGCCGACCAAATATGTTGATATGCCCAAAAAAACTTAACTGCTTTCAACTCGCATTTCAATTTTGCTTGTCCATGTTCAACTCCAGGCTCAGTATGACGCACTTTAATTCACAGCGTTTAAGTGATTATCACTTCCGAGTGATGTAAATAGGCAAGTTTTTCAATCTTCTTGAAATTTCTTTTGACGTGATTCGCTTCGAATTCATCTGTGTCGGTTCATCAAGGCCAGATAATCAATTATTGAAAATATATAATTAATGTAGTGGTTACAATATTGATTTAGCCACGTTGGCCAGTCGCCCATTCTTGACCACCGGTCTCCTTGCTAATTTTGACAAGAATTTTTACCGCCAGTTGCGGTTTCGAACCTTCATTATGCTGCTCCAATCCTAGTGATCTGCTCCAATAGTTACTACGTTTGTGGGCCGTGCCGGTATAAAGGTCGTTCCCTATTTCTGCCTTATATCTTCATGTACGGTTTTGTCACCTAAAATAATCTATTGCTTTTTGGTATTTTGTCCAAATTTCTTTTCCTACAATTGTTTACTTACAGTCATCGTACTTGGAGTGGAACGAGTTGGATTCTTCCGTTACTCAACAAGAGTGGAAATATCACTAACCTACACTAACTTTTAAGATTGGTGTAGGTTACTGATAAAGTGTTCTCACTAAAGTACGATTGAATTAGTTGTTTGTAATGCAATTCTTAACATGATTGTATTTTTTCAGGCAAGGACGTGTTGTGCGGTCAAGCCCTGGATCTGAACAGGAAAGACAGCCTCATCACACCTACCACGACGTCCACGACCAACACGACCACCTCCACTCACATTATCTCGACCACTACCACTTCTGGGGGATCTCTTCATAACAACAGCGGCTCCAACAACCTCCTCAACAACAACAACCAGCTTAATAGTGACCACCACAGCGGCGGCGGCGGTTCGTCCACTCCAGGTCTTCGTTTCCAGTCTACTAGTTTGGACAGTTCGAACAGTTCCAGTGGAGGTCGTTCGCTCCTGTGCACTTCCAGCGGATCTTCTCATAAATCCAGCTCTTCTTCACCTCTTTCACTTAATTCCATAAAAGCTGCGTGGAAGTCCCTTACTTCCATTACGTCTTCTTCATCATCGTCTTCTAAGTTACCTCATCTGGAACGTCAGTCTGACTCTGGTCATTCTCCGGGATCTTCAGGCAGCGGCGGACAACAAGCATCAGGGCACTCGAGCCAACAAGACTACCGTTACACTCAAGTGCCGACATCGTCTGCTTCAGCGCTCCACATCCTTGCTAACAAGCGACACAAGGACAATAGTAGCTCCTCTAGCCAGCATCAGAGCTTGCACAATACCCACATCTATCTCACTCCTGCATCACGCTCCTACACCCACCCGCATCGTTCTCCCTTGCAACCAGCACCAACATCTCACATTCACCACAACCACGGTCATCACCAGCATTTGCCTGGTTCTAGCCACCACATTAGTTCGTCTTTTAGAGCCACATTATCATCACATACATCAAGATCGAGTAACTTCTCAGGCAGCTCCGTGTCTCGAGCCACAGGCGAAGCTCTCACTCTCGCCAAGTGTCTACGGAAGCATCGAGAAAAGCAACAAAAAATCCACGAGCAAGCGCTCACTCGCAAGTCAAAGTCAGACAATGCCTTGCAGAAAATAGGCGTCAATCTCAAGTCGCAGAGTGATCAGAACCTGCACAAAGTTTGGCTGGTGGGCACCGGGGGAAGTCAAGCGAGTTGCTGTGTCACCAACAACTCCATCTTCAGCACCGTACAGCTCTCGGGAGGTAGCGGCGACAGCACTGCCAGCGTCGCAAGCAGCAGCAACAGCAACAGTTCTTACAGGAAGAAGAGAAGAAAATTGTTAGGTACAATAGGAATTGAAGAGGAGATCAGAAGAAGAGAAGAGCAAGAAGAGAGAGAAGAGAGAAGTCGTTCCTTGGAGCGCCATCACGGTCAGCGCATAAGCAGTAGCAGCAGCAGCAGCGGCTCACGACGGCACACCAGAAGCTTGGAAAGGAACCACAAATTTCGTGTTGATTTACGGCACCTCATCCCCTCACCGCCTCTGTGCCCTCATCTCGAGCCCATCCCTCCCGACCATCAGGCTCCCTCACCTCCCACTCACACGGCCCCCTTCATCCCCCACTCTAGCAGCACGAGCGGTAGCAGCAGTTGTTCCCAACAAAGCTTCAGCCCGTGTATCGCCTCACCCTCGTTGGGGAGCTACCCTTCCTCAAGTGGCGGCAGCAACACATATTCCCCGACACCCCACGACACACTCGCAGTGGGACACTCTCGTCTGGCGTGTCTGACTGCGACAGCTGGCAATCTGCTGAGCAACAGCTGGTGCAGCAGCAGCAGTGGCAGCAGTTCCTCAGGCGCCAGCAGCTGTGGAGTCGAGGGTAAGATCACCATGGAGGCTGGGGCGACCGGCGGCTCCTTCATCAACAAGCCTGCGAGGGGCTGGCTCCATACCGACACGCAGCTCGCCGACGGCTCCATCACCTACGCCGTCAGGGTGAGTCTTGGTCTTGTACCGTCCTCTGCCTTCAAATAACGTTATTGTAACGTCAAATGCCAGTTGGGTTATGTCGTCAGGAATACAAGGCACAAAAGAGTCGTATGTTAAGTGAGTCTGTATAGCGTCCTCTGCCTTGAAATAACTTTCAATCAAGAACGTAATTCTAACGTCAAATATCGGCTGGGTGATGTCCACAAAAATGGGGACAACAGAGTTAGGTTACTTAGGTATATGTTAAGAGTGAAGCTGCCTTTGTACCTTCCACTGAGTAACTTCCCTCAGAGCAAAGAAGGTTGAAATAAGGTTCAAGCAATAACGTTATTTGAGCTTCAAATGCCAGGTGGATTGTGTCGTGAAGAATGTGCGCTTACAAACGGGTCATCTGTTGTGTCAGAGGATTGATTACCTAGACATTGAGTGATAAACAGAGTGATGCGCGCTGCATTTCTGTTGCAAAATATTGCTGATAATATTCGTATTGTTCTTCCAATTACTGGTCAGGACTCCATGTTAAATTCAACAGGGATCAACAAACTCGAGTGAAGTGTTTCGGGACTCTAAAGAAATTACATGGAATATTTTTTAGTCTGCTTGTTGCTATTTGTTAACGATTAAAATCATTTGTTCTATGAATAGAAACCTTTATTATATGTACAGCACTACGATTATTTGTAAATCCTGGTCTTTCGCTGAAAATATAAACTCAAAGTCTTTCTTCTCTGACTGTCACAAAAATTGCAGTTTCACGTCATTTGAATAAATATAAATGACGAGGGCGCCAAGCAAATTCACCATAGCTTCGTCGAAAACGTGCATGTTGGAGCATATAGACATGGCATTTTCTTTACTTATTAATTCCTGGCAAACTCGTTATTTAAGCAGATATATGTAATAATAATAATGATATATTTAATGAGTATCTGGAGCTTACAGACTTTGCAAATTTGATTGGCATTTTCTTTACTTATTAATTCTCGGTAAACTTGCTATTTAAGCAGGTATATTTAATAATAATAATGATATATTACACGAGTATATGGATGTACTATGATGTTGATGTGTTGTGTTGGTGCTGCAGTACATCGGGTGTCTGGAGGTCAACACGTCCATGAAGTCCCTCAACTTCGACACGCGCTCCCTCATCGCCAAGTGAGTCTAAAGCAATGAATATTAAAGTGAGTTTAGCCATGAATATTATTCACCTATTGATTTCGTCTCGAAGCGCTATATTATACTCTCTATTTATTTCGTATATTTTATTCGAAGTAAATAGGTTGATATTCTATTTGAATATCAGCCTACTTATTCCGACTCAATATGCTCTATTCATAGGTACTCTTTTGGCATAAATATAAGCGCTTATGTTTCGTCTCCATTCTCTTAAAGGATCAGATTTTATAATAAATAGGATTCTCCATCCCAATAAGATCTTCTCCATCCCAATGTCTTTGACATTGCAAGCGACTAAATCGTTCATTGAGACTTCAACAATTGAGTTGTTTATCTACAAACTGAATTTTAGTGACTAACATTTCGCAACTAAGGACCGCAGGGTATGTGGGTTGCCCTGACCTGTATCACATAAGTACATTGTACAGTACTTCTAGGAGTCTCGCTCCCGCAATTCGTTACCGAGGCTGTCTCATAAGCAGCAGCAGCGGCGACGTCTGCGTAACAAGACGTGACGAATTGCCTCTTGTGGCGCTCAGCTCTGCCTTGTGGCGTTGTGGCTGTGGCGCTGCCACCTCACTTGTGGCGCTACCACCTTGCCTGTGGCGCTGCCACTTTACCAGTGGCGCTGCCACCTCGCTTGCGGCGCAGTGGCTGTGGCGCTGCCCCCTCGCCTGTGGCGCAGCCACTTTGCCTGTGGCTCAGGCGATGGCTCTCTCACAAATGCCGTGGCGCTGCCACTGCGCTAGAGCCATTTTGTTTGCAACTGCTGCTCGATGTATGCGTCGAATTTATTTTGACTTTACGGAAAATAGCGATCAAGTCTCCTGCTTCATGAGAATAAAACCGATATAGTCCAAGCCCCAGGTTATATATGAAATTAGTGAAAGGGTATTGTTTTTTTATTTAAAATAAATAGTCGTCCAAATGATTTCGGACGACTTTTTTTATTCCATCCAATTGATAAGTATCAATTGAATTAAAATTCTATTGATACTTGTTCATCGAATTGACATCGGATGCTAGCGTAGGTCGCGAGAACTGCTCTTGGCTGGGGGACATTTGTGTCTCGGCAAAATTGTTAGTCTCTGACATCAAGAATGTTAACTAATGCAGTAAATGCAGCGTACAAGTTGTGTTGCGAACAACCTCTAACTAGAACTTGAGAGGGCAAGAGTGTCGGTGTGAATATCATTAAGGGACGAGTGTACTAATGGGCACGTCACTAGCGGGCACGTCACTAGTGGGCACGTCACTAGCATGCGAGTGTGCCGGTGGTGACCTGACAATTGACGTGGACGTGGCAGCAGCTGCGGCGTCGGCGCGTCTATTGCAGGCTTCCTCCCTTGTTGACGTGCATCCTATCCCACGCTGCACTCTGTCCCTGTCCCTGTCTCTGTCCCGGCCCTCTCACGGCTCTGTCTCTGCCCTCTCACGGCTCTGTCTCTGCCCTCTCACGGCTCTGTCCCTGTCCCTCTCACGGCTCTGTCTCTGCCCTCTCACGGCTCTGTCTCTGCCCTCTCACGGCTCTGTCTCTGCCCTCTCACGGCTCTGTCTTCTCACAGCTCTGTCTCTGCCCTCTCACAGCTCTGTCTCTGCCCTCTCACGGCTCTGTCTCTGCCCTCTCACAGCTCTGTCCCTGTCCCTGTCTCTGTCCCGGTCCTCTCACAGCTCTGTCCCTGCCCTCTTACCCCACTCGGTCTCTGCCCTCTCACCACACTCGGTCTCTGCCCTCTCACCACACTCGGTCTCTGCCCTCTCACCACACTCGGTCTCTGCCCTCTCGCCACACTCGGTCTCTGCCCTCTCACGGCTCTGTCTTTGCCCTCTTACCACACTCGGTCTCTGCCCTCTCACGGCTCTGTCTCTGCCTTCTCACGGCTCTGTCCCTGTCCCTCTCACAGCCTCTGTCTCTGCCCTCTTACCTCACTCGGTCTCTGGCTCTCTGCCCTCTCACTTTCTTTTATTTGTATCTCTACCGTCGAACTTCTCTCTCTGTTTCTGTCTCCTCTCCACTTTCAATCTCTTCCTTGTTACCTCCATCTCCGTCTCTGCCTCCTCGCCCCTTACTTGATTTTCTCCCTTCCCTCCCCTTCTTTATGCATCACAATTGTAACTGTCATCACAATAGTGACTGCCAGCACGACAGTGATCGTCATATCTTGGTACAGATGGAGAAAATAGAGCGCTACAATCGTGTAGGATCATTTATTGTCACTATTTCGACATTCTGACCTGCACACTCAACACGACATGTGGTCCATGATCTCATGATCAATGATTGATCATGAGGCTACGCTAGACCGCTCCTGAGCTTGCGTCCATTCATTATTCGCTATGTTAACGAAAGCCTGACGTCTTATCTACAACGTATCGCGCAATGTTCTTATTGATGTAGATTGTAGAACCTAATTTACATTTACATTCCTGCGTTTTTTTTTTTTTTTTTGCGGGGGAAATATTTAATGCTTGAAATTGTCTAAAATCGTGAGAATTATTTTCTTAGCTTGCATTAAATTATCCAGGTTACCACATTTATGTGCATTTTTATTTGAATTTATCTGGTCATGGAACAAGAACTAAACCCTCCGCTTATTGTTTTCATCCTAACTGCGAGCTTACTTTAGCCCATATTGTACTATATATTGTAACTTATATACTAACATGTATAACTTATATGGTATGGTATGTTGTATGGTAACTTGTAGGATTGAGATAGTAGCGTAAGTTGTATTAGATGCCTTTTGCATACTCTTGAACCATAATAGTCGATAAGGTAGCACCAACATTCTATAGTATGATCTATTTGCAATCCATGAGTTCTTGTCGGAAACATTAAGCTATCATGCATGCGCTCGAAATAATGTTATCATTAAAAATCGGTTTTTCGGTATTGTCAATGTGTGGGCGCGTATTCTGCTCGTCTGAAGACCTACAAAATTAATATAAATTTGAAAATTATCCTTGTCAATCTTGCAGAGAATGCAGCTGCTAACTCTTATCAATCCTGCAGAGAATGCATCAGCCGAGTGTGTGAGGCGGCTGGTCTTAAGACCGCAGACCGGCGTCGTAAGACCACCAAGACCATAGGCCGTATCCTGGGCGAGAGCCCTCTGATGCAACACGCTGGCAGCAACGTTACCCTCGCCATCACGAGCGCAGCCCTCAAACTAGCGCTGCTCGACACCGGTGCCCTCATCGCCCACCACGACATGCCTAACATCTCCTTCGCCAGCGGCGGCGATCCTGTGAGTCAGGGTTTTTTCATTTGTTAGGGTACGCACACAGTGAAAGCAGGTTTGCCTGCGCTAGCAACCTGCTCCAACCTGCCACAAGAATGAACATAGGTTAATAATGTAAGTGTTCACAGTGAAAACCTGTACGAACAGGCTTCTGTATTCTATGGTTTCAGGCGCCAGCCTGAGCAGGTTACCAGCACGCTGGCAACCTGCTTTCACTGAGTGCGTACCCTTAGGTCCATATTTGTTTGGTTCACTTGTTTACACATATGGGGCCAGTCTAAATTGATCCAAGCATTCACTACATTCACATACGGAGCCTATTTCAATAAATGCGTCATTGGCTCGTATTGGCTATTTACGTACCAAAACTTGGACCTGTTATTGCATCATATCTTGCTTAAGAATGCGTAGCGGCTGATTTCTTGTCTCTGATTGGTGGGTTTATCAAGGAATCAATAAATTTGGCGAATGGTGTAACGAAATCGTAAGTAATTTTGATGGTAATGCCCTTGTTCGCTGGTATTAATGACCGTTGACGCTATTTCAACCCCCTTTTGTTTACATGGTTTACATGCCCCACAAGACAATCCGAACTTTTTATCCTTGAGACCTCCTTCGTTCACGGCCCTTACCCCACAGGACACCCTGGACTTCATCGCGTACGTGGCAAAAGACTGCAGGTATGGACGCGCCTGCTTCGTGCTGGAGTGTGGGGGCGGTCAGGCGCAGAACGTCATCACCAGCATAGGCCAGGCTTTCGAGCTTCGTTTTAAAGAATATCTCAAGAAAACTCCACAGACGCAGGCCGGTGTTACCGCGGGTGTTGGAGCACTCACTTCTAACGCCTCCAACGTTCCTGGTGCCAACGGCAGCATCCAGAACCTCAACCATAATGTGCAGGCGCAGCCTGGCGTCAGCTACACAACTGTCAGCAAAGACAGGCGAGTTGGTAGTCTTCATAACTGGCCAAAATTCTAACGCCTCCAACGTTCCTGGTGCCAACGGCAGCATCCAGAACCTCAACCATAATGTGCAGGCACAGCCTGGCGTTAGCTACACAACTGTCAGCAAAGACAGGCGAGTTGGTAGTCTTCATAACTGGCCAAAAACTTATCCATTTTCTTTCATTCTAATGTCATAGGTTTTTTAGATGATGGTAAAGCTTCCGTTTATAGCAAACGCGTCGCACCATGCTTTATTTTCGTTCTAACGTTTTACTGAGCATATTTGGGAGTAACATCATCGTCTGATGATAACCTTTTTGTTTTGTATTTTGCGACAATAAATTTGCAACTTGCGATTGCATCAGTGTTTTAGATATTTTGACATTGACCCTATGTGCGACTTCGATGTTAAAATTTTAGACCACTGATGGCTTGATATTGCCACCCCGACAAGAATTGTCTCTCCTTCACGTCAATCTCATCGGAAGGGAAGAATTTCAGTCTTGCTTTTATGTCGCCAAATTCTTCTAATAGAATAAAATTGTAACTATCATGTAGTATAATAGAATAATTATTGTATGATATTATTACAGGTTACCTGGCAACGCTCGCAACGACGACCCAGAATACTATAACGACCTCCCTGGCAAAGTTCCTCCCGACATCATCCCTCCTTCGGGCCAGCCTCCTCCTGTGCCCCCCTTACCCTCGTTGTCCACCGCCCCCCTCAAAGTGAACAACGGGTGTGGGGGCGTGCAAGCTGCCCTCGCTGCCGAGGACAAATTCTGCAATAACAACAGAAGCTCTGACCTCACGGCCGGGCCTCCTGCTGGGGACGCCCCTCGACCGCCCTCCGCTGCAGGTACGACATCTCATTTCCTTAAAAGGCTATCAGAATCATACAATGTTGATGCAAGCAGGGAAACCTGGAAATTGTACCATCTTATCATAAGCAAGATGAAATGTAGTATGAATAACATTTTTCACTGCATAGGTGATGAAATATAGTTCACTGACCAATATTCGGTAGGAGTAGTACCTACGAATGACATTTTTTACTGCAGAGGTGATAAAATATTGTTTACTGACCAATTTTTGGTATGAGAAATCTTGACTGACGCTCGTTCATGTTATTTATGACCAAAGGTATGCCTGGACTACCACTCATTGATCTTATCAATGATAATAAATATGAGTAGATGATTCATCTCATCACTCATTGGTTATATTGACGCTCAGGAGTGGGTAACCTGATCGACCTGAGCAACGGAGGGCTGGAGGGCAGCGTCGCGCAGGAGCCTGAGTACGTCAACGACGCCGTCATCAAGCAGAGCCAACAGGCGGCCGCCGATAAGACGACCATAGCCAAAGATCCTTTCGATATGCGTGAGTTGAGACTAATTCAACTTATTGTAACTAGTGACAGTTTTTTGTAAATTGTACCGCTAGTTTCACGGATTAGAAGTAACTTCTTTTTCCCATGGATTGAAATTAGCGCCATTTATGTATCGATATATCTCAAGGATGATACTAAGTAACTATGCATGTTTACACAACATTTATTTGGTGTGTTATTATTCATTAATGTATCCATACATGACAAGGGTGAATATAACTATTTCCCATGGGGAGAAAAATTCGTGTCATTTATGTATCGATATATCTCACGGATGATACTAAGTACCTATGCATGTTTATACAACATTTATTTGGTGTGTTATTATTCATTGATGTATCAATACATGGCAAGGATGAATATAACTATTTCCCATGGATTGAAACCTGCGTGTCATTTATGTATTGATATATCTCAAGGATGGTACTAAATAACTATGCATGTTTACACAACATTCATTTGGTGTGTTATTATTCATTAATCTATCCATACATGACAAGGGTGAATATAACTATTTCCCATGGATTGAAACCAGCGTCATTTATGTATCAATATATCTCATGGATGATACTAAATAACTATGCATGTTTACACAGCATTCATTTGGTGTGTTATTATTATTTATTTATAATAAATTATTAATTTTGAATAAATATTAAAATAATATTATTTATTTATAATAATACATGACAAGGATGAATATAACTAACTAAGTAAGATGTTACAGAGCCGTTCAGCGCGACGCTGAGCCACCTGGACGCTACGACGCCCAAGAGTTTGTCCCTCCAGCAGCGCCTGCAGCTCGCACAGGAGCTCTGGTACCACGGCCCCATCAACAGGAAGCAGGCCGAGGACCTACTCAAGCAGGTGACCTGCTAGGTCTTCTTGTGGTCTGCTGGGCCTGCTTGTGGCCTGCTTGTGGTCTGTTGGGCCTGCTTGTGGTCTGCTGGTTCTGCTTGTGGCCTGTTAGGCCTGCTTGTGGCCTGTTAGGCCTTCTTGTGGTCTGTTAGGCCTGTTTTGCCTAAGCATAACGTTTGTTTTTTAAGCATAACCTTTGATTGCCTTTCATTTTATTGTTCCGCGCAATCATTGATTTTGATTTCTCATTATATTATTATTGTATTCGACTCACTTGATGTGTTATGACTCCTTATTATATTACTATTATTATTATTGTTATTACATTGGTGTCACTTTACATTTTGATTACTTATTATGTCATTGTTTTTAGCACATTTTCTCATTATGGAAAAAAGGCGCTATTGTGCTCGCCATGTCCGTCTGTCTGTCCGTCCGTGACTTCACGTTTTCGTCGACGAGAAAATGCGCTCTCTGTCACTCACTGCAGTGAGTACTGAGTTATTTTTTTTAATGTACAGGACGGAGATTTCCTGGTGCGCGAGTCCCAGGGCACGGCGGGGCAGTTCGTCCTCACGGGCATGCAGAACAGCGTCAAGAAACATCTGCTGCTCGTCGACCCCAACGGAGTTGTGAGTTCCAAGCTAGATTTTACTCACGCCTCGTGCATTTATGGTTGTTTTACATACGCCTCGTGCATTTTTGGTCGTTTTACACACGCCTTATACATTTTTCGCTTGTTTTTCATACGCCTTATGGGTTTTTGCTCTGGCAGAGTTTCTATTTGTTTTTTCCTTACGTTTCATGCATTTTTACTTTGGCAGATGTTCGAGTAGGTTCACGGTCGATGTATATATTCTTGGGAAAGGCATCATTTTAGTCATTTTTGAAATGTTTTTAATTAATGCTCAATTTAACATATGCTAGATGGTTTTTATCTTAAGAAATTCTTGAATTTAACCTCGCTGGATGATTTCTTGTAGGTATAAATTTTAAATTTTACTCACGCTACATGGATTCAGTTGTGACAAGCACAGAATTTCCCTCATGCTAGGCTTGTTTCACCTTTGCAAACCGACCACAATTTCCACCAAATTAATTTAATTTAATTTTAATTAATTTACAACGTATTGTTTCATTGATATTTTATTACCCGGGTGATCAGGTGCGCACGAAATGCCAGACATTCTCGAGCGTGTCTCACCTCATCAACTACCACCGAGACAACGAGCTGCCCATCGTCTCCGCTGAGTCTGCGCTCGTCCTCAGGAACCCTGTCATCAGAAGAACTACTCCGCCGAACCCTCGGTAAAGGCTGCTTGGTCTTATGCCTCTGGCGATCTTTTCAATACGCTCTAGAATTACTCTACCCCATCACTCTGGCACTGCAACTCTGCAGTGATCTTCATACATCACTGCAACAGTGCAGTGAATTTCACACTTTACTGTAACACTGCAGTGAACTTCACTGCAACGCTGCAGTGAACTTCACTGCAACGCTGCAGTGAACTTCACTGCAACGCTGCAGTGAACTTCATACATCACTGCTCCATTGCAGTGAACTTCACACTTTACTGTAACACTGCAGTAAACTTCACTGCAACAGTGCAGTGAACTTCACTGCAACAGTGCAGTGAACTTCATACTTCACTGCACCATTGCAGTGAACTTTACACTTAACGGCCGCAGAAACTTGCCTTCAACTGAAAATTTTTTCGGCGATGGCCAAAATTCAATGAAAAATGTATCTTTTGCTCTGAAAATGTACCTATGTTTTAGAAATTACTTTGCCAACTCGCTCCGCACTTTATTTATATCCACAAAGAGTCTCAAACTATGTGTAGTGTTTGCCAAGTAATAATGATACTTGTTCATTTAACTCTGCTTCATGAAACGCGAAAAGTCGTATTTTCTTACTAATGTGAGCTTCTTTCTTCTTTGCTTCAACTTATTGCAATCACACGGAATTCATTTGCGCTGAAGCAATTCTTGTTTTAAATTTGTCCTGGCATTTTTGACGAAGTGGTGTGGAAGTGATGACCGTGAGTGGATTATTGCGTCAAGTAATGAGGACTAAAGAAACTGATAGCGCAATTTTAATATGATTTTGTTCAAGTGTTTCGTCAGTTGGTAGTTCCGCTCTGTCGCGACCGCATTGAGTGTAATGTTGCTTCAGTTGGCATCGATGTAATATTTTGTAAACGATTATTCTATGGAGTACACACTGCGAATCATAAAGCTCTTAATTTATTTATTTCTTCTGATTGACACTTCTTTCCAAAGGCCAGAATGCATCATATTTAATTTACAATTTGTTCACTTTGATCGAATAGGGCACATATAAGGAAGACCGGTATATAATTGTACCCTTTAAAACACTATCATTGTTTTCACCATCAAAAATTCGCCGTTTTTTATCAGAGAAAATGTTTACTCTCATGAGAAATTGCGATTTTTTTGTCTGTTTTCTTTGTTCTTAAATTCTTGATGAATTTGGGATTTAAGCAATCAACTGATCATAATGTTTTTTACCATCTGTTAGATTATCAATTTCTTTCCTTGATTTTTAGTTTGGCTTTTATGTTTGATTAAAAAATAAGTTGATTTTAGCTTTCATTTCTATAATTGTTTGGTGCAAGCGACTTAGATCTCAGGTCCCACTGCCTATTGGATTTTTTCAGAGATTTCATAAGAAATAACGTTAAGAAAATTCGACATTATAAAGATGAAGAGATAAAGAGACAAATGTTCGGGAGGATGATAACTTTATGGAATTGTTTTGATAATTTATTGCTGTGTATTAATCACCATTTCTTCTTATCATCAACTTCATCACAAGTTGCAAGTTTATAGTTCGCGTAACTGGATTCAAATAATTTGTCGCCGCTGACTCCTTTGTTTCCATGAATACATTTTTGTCTTGAAAAATTAACAGGAACTGCCAATTTAAATTACCATTGTAGCCAATGTTGCGACGGAGTAAAAGATATGTTGACGTGTATATTGACGTATTTGACGTGCATATTGACCGCACGAATAACGTCATGACCAGACTTGAGTTCTGAAGCTATTAACGACGTAATATTTTACATTGACTTGTACCATATTGTACACACGCAACACAAGCTGAGCCTGTCCAGATCGGGACGTATTGTAATTATTTGCCCGCTCATAGTTACGTCCAATTAACCATCTATTAGCGAAACTCATATTTACAAATTCTGGCCCATTAATATTTAAGTTTGAGCTTCGCCAAATCCATCTTAGTTTTGTGATCCATCGTACGTTGTCGTTGTAATCAATGTATTTCTAAGAGGCTATATGCATGGTCAGGCCCATTGATGAATACTAGGGTAAATCTCTCGTAATTTTGTTATTGTTTCAACTATTTCATAGGTAGTGTTGTAATTTACTCTATAATCTAATATTTTTCCATAGCGTTTGATTTGTGCCTTTATTTTTAGTGATTCAAATGGTAGGAAAATATTTTGTCAAGTTCTGAACACGTCCACGTGGCGGTTACCTCTTTTAGGTAGCGTCTTGTTGACAGAACTTCGTATGTGTGCGCTCCAAACCTGCAAATGTTAATGACTTGGTTCAATATTGTACATGAAATAATGAGAATCGACTGAAAATTTTTAGATTTGAAATTCAGTTTTACGAAATAAAGCGAAATGTACAATGCACTTATGGTGAAGCGCAATATCATAACCTGTAAAGTGCAATACTTTTATTGCTTACGAGTGTATGTACACCCTTTTAAAGCCGAATTTCTTATTTAATTGTGATGTACCGTGTTCTAGTCGTGTTATATTTCTGCTGTTGTTATTTTCATCATAACGACATGACAGATGTAACGCGACTCAGTGGATGCATTTTGCGTGTGTTTATGTGAGGTAAGGGACGAGTGTTGCAGTGTTATCGTGACGCTCGTAACTTGAGTGAAGTGAATTATTGAATGTCGGAGGTGAAATGAGATGTATGGTATGCGAGCGCGTACGTTGGAGATGCCAAATTAAATTGGATGTTATTCTTATTAAGGAATTATTATCTTTCGTGCCTATAAAAATGCACATGTGTTCTGCAACGCAGATAGAGTAAAAAAAAAATAAAAGTATCTTGACGAGGTTATGCCAGTTTTTAATGAAAAAACAATTTTAACTGCAAACAAATAAATCAATTAGAGACTACATCTTGTTGTTGACGAATGGATTTATACATGAAGTTAGCGCTTGTGTAATTAAGGTGCGAGTGGAGGGTAATAATCCACAAGTCATCGTGTCATATTATGTAGGTAAAGAGAACGATTATATTTATGTAGGGTATCGTTGTTAGCTACTACTAGAGATGCTATTATAAATAATATCTTGCCATTATTTTGGGAAGGTGATCATACGCTGGTTAAAGCGTGCCTCCTCTTGGGTCCCTGGGCTCTAGAGGACGGCTGGGTTGGGAGGAGGCCTTTGTGCTATCTCTAAGTAGGCCCAAGATATGTTACGGGATTCGATATTATCATAATCATTCTACAACCATCATTGCGTCATCTGTGTACGTTGAACATTCTTCATGCTGGTCATCATTATTATCTTCAGTTTGTCGTAAAGTATTTTACCCTATCGTTATAAATCAAAACCTTATCGTGTAACATACACTTTGTTCTTCATGATCACCTCCTTTTTTTGTCTGTCGTTGACGTTAAGTTTTTGAAATTATATTCTTCACGGTTATTTTGCACTCCATTAAATAGATCTTAGTTAATGCAATTTCTATACAAACTAATACTTTTCAAAGCTTGATCAAAATTGGGCATGAAATTTGGTAACAAGCTTAAAACTTAGCCCTACTTCTGGCGAGCTCCCGTCCTCGACTGATAACTCTCTTCATTTGATATTCGTGATGTTGACATAAATCTTAAACGTTAGTGCGCTGGACCATATTTTGTATTGCAATACTTGGGGAAATAAAGGATGGGGGAGTTCTCACTTATACGAGAAATGTGGGATAATAAACATGAAGATTTGTAATAAATCGTGCATTTTTCCTGCGCTATCTGAAATGTTCTCTATTACTTCATGGCCATATATGGAGTCGCATCAATTAGTTCGCACGTCTTGGACGTGTCTTTTGTTCACGAATTTAAATCTAAAGCAATTGAAGATTCTAAATGGCTTATTTTGAATACCATAATTATCAGTGTATGTGAATAGCAGTCTTATATCTTAAGAATTCTAAATAAAGTATGATTGATTCCTGGAATTCTTGACCTTTTCTTTTATTGACGGATGCTCTGCCCCGGTCTGCACAGTCTGTAAATGTTTTCATCAGCCGTATTGCCACAATATAATTTATCAGTTTCAGCGTTTATTAGGTCATAGGCCTGTCGCCAATTCTTAACATTGCACACCATCCACAGCATGTTGCGGGCTTGAACTCGCAACTCACTGCTCTAATTCTGCTTTGTTTAACCGCCCGGCCTCCTTGCCGATTCTGACCAAAAACTGTCGCACAGAGCTGGGATCGAACCCGCACCTCTCTGCTTCAATCTTGGTACTCTGAACTTTAACCACTGGGCCCCCTCAAGGGGGACTTCTGACTAGTGTCTGTTCTCGTCAGAAGTCCTATGGGATTTCGCGCTCCAAGGGGGCTTGTTCCTGAGCGCCCCACCGCTGAGCTTGCGGTGTCTGACTGCTGGTCTCAGTTGTGGGGTTAAGTTTTTATGTAGGTAGGATTCTTTACATTTCCCTTCTCTGTCTCTCGTGCGTGCGTCCGACGTCCCGTGTAAGCGACCTCTTGTTCGAGTGTCTTAGTTTCTGTTGCTTTTCTCCTGTCCCTCCTTTTCACTTCGTCTTTGAGATGCTAACGCTGCTTCCTTGGAGCCAGCTTCAACGGGCTGGACAATTGAGATCTTCCGCCCTTTGTGGGCGATGATTAATTTGAGATATTGAATAATTGAGACCCTCCGCCTCGCTGGCGATGTTACATTTTGACCTCCGGTGCGAAATGGCGTGATAGCTGGAGCGCTAGCAAACCATTCTATTACTACTACTACTAAACACTGGGCCACCCTGCCGATCACCTGTCATGGTAGCGATACATAGCAACCTTCATTTGTGGTTAACTTGAATTGCTCGCACATCATTCAAACGTAAATTTCCCTTATTTTGGTGGTACGGCGCTGTTAATGAAGGTCCAAAGTTAGGAAGGAAGCCAGTAAAGGTGGTGTTGTCGATGCCTCGAGCAACGTGAAGACAATTTCATGTGGACCACTGGGAAAGTATTGTGAAGTTTTTACATTGTGTTACATTTACAATTAGCGATAAATTTATTCGCCATTTTCTATTTGTTTGGTACATTGGTGTGAATAAAAGTTTTTATTTTTCATCGCAAATATTCATTCAAAATCCGTTCAAT